TTTCATAAGAATACGAATTTCAGGCTCAGACTGGAAATGATGTTTATATTTCTGACAAATTTGTATAGGAAATTACACTGTACGAGAAGAATTGCATGCAATGAAAAATCGCACGCGCGTGTTTGGCGAAATAGTAGAGAGTTTTAGATTGACGTTCGTCGTTATTACGGCAAACCGCGAACCGGTATAGTCGACGTACCCGTTACAAGTTTGCAGTTCGGATTTTAAAAACGATTTAGATTTAGGCCTAAGGTTTTCAGTAACTTCCAAAATGTGAACTTAATCGGTGGGCAATAGCATCCCAATCCATCGGCTTTTGTGTCCGGCAGCTTGCAACCTCCCTAGCCAATGCAAGATCATGTTGTATGCTTGGCCAACGAATTCGAAAGAGTTTTGTGGTCACTGGTCATGATGTTTTTCCAAGTTCTGTATTAGACACAAACAGATTTTATGTCAAATTCGCAACAAAATTGGCGTAAGAATAAAACTTTAAATCTTAAAATTATGAGAAAAACTAACAACAAAAACAATGTAAATCAGCTATGCATTTGGGCTATGCTTTTGCCTGCAATTTTGTTTATTGACATCGACTGAATTCGACACAATATTTCAGTCGAAGATAGTAGTTTCATATCCTTATTTTATGCAAGAATGAAAGTCATAGTGATAATAAACATAAGTGCCATGTTTATACGCGAGAAAAAGAACAAAAAAATGCATGAAAACCTTGAGGGAAACTACCTACCTGAAAACAGCATCCCTCGCGTAGAAACGTCTACTTCGAACGTGTAATCTAGTTAATCTGACTGCAAAATGGCTGTCACGTGATTTTTAGCCGTTTGCGGTTAGCGGGAAATACGAAAATACGTCAATCTAAAACTCTCTAATGAGTTTAAGCTTCACGTTTCCGGGAACGGCAAACAGCAGGTTCGAAGTTTCTTGGAAAAATTTTCGTTGAACGCTTTCGTTTCACATTTTCTTCCTTGTGTCGAAAGAATAATTATGTATTTCAGTTTTAAAACAGCAAGTTCATTTACTCTTTATTGCATGATACCGTAAAATTTTTCTTTGCCTTGCGTTTGCCTTTTGACGTAGAACGCGAAGCTTAAACTCTCTATTATTCACAATGTCTCGAGTGCGAAGCACGAGCGGTATTATAAATATTTCACCAAACACAAGCGCGATTTTTCAATAATATTTCGAGAAGAAAACAGTCGGTAATTTCCTTTACAGCAGTCAGTTTACATGATATGCCACCTCGGGCAAAAACGTTAATAACCGCGCCCAGATGTCAAAAACAACTATTGTTACATCAACCTTTTGCGTGAGGTGGTTGTGTAGCACGTAAAATATCACATAAAATGCGATATTGCGAATTATTGCATAAAATGCTCAAATTTTGCATAAATTAAAAAGCACGTTCTTTATTTAAAAAAGTTGCACAATTTTTAACCAATCAGAATCGAGTAAAATTGACTGAAATGGTATTAAGGCTCAAAACATTCTCTGACTACGCTCTTATTTCTACAGCGTTGGTTATTTCAGAAGTTGTATCGTTGAAATATATATAATCATTCCGAAGCTTTTGCATTGAATGTAAATCACATATTTCGTCGGAATAATCAACTAAATCAAACTGTGATTACATTCATCAAAGAATTGGTCAATTTCGACCTTGTCATGGTCCTTCATATCTTTCATTTTAATATTTTCACAGCAAGTCGAAGAAGATGTTCTTATTTAACATTCTTAAAATTTTGCTTATTTGAGCTTAAACATTAGTCTTATATAAACATGATTTTTATAAAATGAAAAGAGTGTCTTTTCATTTGGCTATGGCTATGCAATTCAACAGTGTCATATATGCCATCGGGTAAATCTCTAAAAACAACTTTAGAGGTTCTTACAATTTTTTGGAACAAATGTACCGGCTTTGCCTTGCTGGAGTCTTGAAAATTCTCATGGACTCAATGAGAAATTTGGAAAATCTATTGCCACATACAAATTGACAAGAATGAAATAACCAAAACCGCCAATGCATTCATTCTTGTGTTAAATTGTGCTGCCTTGTTACCATGATTTGTGGGGTCATTCGTTGTGGTAGCATTGTATACATAACTATCTGTTGTGGCATTCCCACGACTAACAACCGGCGAAGATGTTGCATTTAGCTGTGGTGTTTTGGATAACTCGGTGCCATGTTGATCCTGTGTTGTGTAATTCAAGTTTAAAAGAGTTTCGGTTGTTGGCGTAAGATTTGGAACAGACTTTGCTTCCTTCTTTTCCTTTTCTTGATAAGTTGCATTGACTGTTGGCTTTTTAGTTGCTGGTTTGGATTTCGCATTTGGTTTGGTTATATTCGCTTGTGTAGTTGGGCTACTCTTTGGCATCGTTGCTGGTTTTCTATTTTGATCAGTCGAATTGAGGAATGGTCTTGTTGGTGTGTTGTGGCTGTCAGACTCACCAGTACCGTTTCGACTTTGGTCAATTTTGTTTGGAATAGGGCTTTGTGTTGTAGGGGTTGTGGTTATCTTTGTATCATTGTGAGTTTTGGGGGTGATGTTGTCGTCAAACTCAGTATACACAAGTGAAAGTGGTATTTTCGTTGCAGTGTTTGTATCTTGTAAGGATCTACACATATTCATCATGCCTTCATGAAGTTTCTTAACTTTGGACGTGGTATTTAAACTAGAGAAAAAAGATATGATAAAAGTGATGCCTGAAAATATTGCTCCTTGTGCATGAGCTTTCGTAGGGGAGAAATCCTCGCGACCAATCCTGCTACTTGTCAACACTTTACTACCGTTGGTCAAATTTACCAAAATTCTCCCACTCGTGCGGGCTCGTATTGTCAGCGGACATCTTACAGAAAGTGGCAAGTTCTTTTGAAAAATGCAAAAGTTTCAATTTTTCACCGCAAGTCCGCTGAAAATGCGAGCCTGCGGTAGTGGGAGAAAATTTGCTGAATATGACCAGCCTGATTCACTAGAACGATTACAGAAATCTGTCAATACATACCAACTTATTATTCTCTCACAATCCTGCCTACTAAGAAGCTCCACTACCATGGTTTCATTTCTGTCACACGCAGGGGCCACGACTTTGCATATCATATCTGATACATTGTTCAAGCATTCTTTGCTGATATTACTGGCATTCCTCGCAAGCCATTCATGAGTTGCCATTTGACTTCGTGATTGCTCAGTAAGATTGATCGCCAAAACCTAAAACAGAAAGAATTCTGGATGATCTATCGTCTCTTCCGACGGCGTGTTCATACGAGCTCAGTGTGAGCCGAATGAGATCCGCATGCATGCCCTTTGACACCGCATATAACATGTAATTTTTGTTCACACGAGAAACGAGGCAGCCCTGCTATAGGTGATACTGATCTCGCCTTGCGCTAGGTGGGATCTCAGTCAAGTGGGACAAAATTTTAAATATGAAGACGCTATCCCACCTGACTACATGGGATGGACATTTTTTGTCGATTTTGAACTAAAATAATATTGTATTGAACAGCGGTCAAGGTCAAAGGCTCTCAGTTCCCATGCATATAGTCGTAACGGTCGCGACCGTATTAATGTTGTTAATCTGATATAGTGTCGACATATCTTTTCAATCAGTAATGATAGATTTGCATCCAGTGAACATGACAGACTATATATATATTTGGTCACGACAGTTGCGCAGCGAGGAAATGCGAACAAAGCACTTCTGTGTTGACGAGACCTCAGAAAAGCTCAAAGTTTTTTCAGCTTTAGGTCTGGCAACCTGAAACCAGCTTTTGCATTGGAAATGTTTTGCGATAAGAAAATCAATTTGTCGGTTTACCCCCTGTTATTTTGTCTTGATTATCTTTGTATGCTTTGAAAATAACACAAACCGCAAGCGCATTGCAGACAGCGCCCTTGAAGACCCCATGTGAACGAAACAACTCAGGTAATCCGGTTTATACATGGGAATAATTATTCCAACGCACCAACGACATAAAATGATTTCTACTTAAACTTTATGCCTCAACTAAAATTAAACTTATACTTTATTTATCTAAATTTATTCAGGTCCAGTAAGAAATATATAAATCTACTATACTACAGTATGTTCTAGCCTCCAGTGTTACAATGGAGAGAACAAACCGGAATACTGGGTGTTCGATATATATAATCAAGTTAATTAAAGCCGAATACGAGTCACAAGTTTCCAGGAAATGTGCTTTCGACTGGGTTTCGATTTCCTTTTCACCTCAGGCACATGTGAGAGAAGTAGTTCCCAACCGATCCAACACAGTTATACATCAGACGTATTGGAATATATATTGCACATGCTGAAAATAAACTGATCTTTCGGAGCGATTATTATATAAACGGCACATATGAGCAAAATTAAAAAACCACACAGAAAACCGCACCTTATAGTTTCGTTTTGCACACGGAAGAGGATCATCCTTAACATCGAGAAAACGCTCGCACTTGAGTGTTTGTCTTTTCATATGTTCTACTGCAGGAGGAATCGCCGTAGAACAGTTGATCATGCCATTAAGTTGAGTTGACAGAATGCCCGTTGCATTAACAAAAGGGCCAGTCGTACATGGGATTTTAGAGAAGCTAATATTCCTCAAATAGCCATAGCTTTCGTCCGCCAAAGACTTTTGCTGGAACACGAGACAGCTGAACAAAACCAGTAGTAACCTTGTGAACATGGCTATAAATCAACGTATAGAGCAATTATTTGGCCTTTCCAAGAGCTCAACACAAGAGCGAGTGGCAAGCAGTCGATAACTGAAAATAACCACACCTTACAAAAACATTCTGCGCATGCTCGTGGTATTTGTGGGTTTTTAATGAATGCACAAATAAATTTGTGGTTTCGCGATTGTTTCGTCTGCACATAGGGCTCACAGTTTTAAAGATTTTCCTTAAAAACAGGAATTTTGCATAGTTTTAGGAATGTTAGTTTTAAGAATTTTAAGAAACGGAACCTTATAGCATGAACGTACGCGTCCGCCACCAAATTGACCATAATATAAAATCATGTTCGCGTAGTGTGCCTTAAGGCCCTTTCACACTATTGCGTATGAGAGAAACGTATGAGAAGCGTATGAAAATTAATGAAATAATTTTCATACGCATAAAAATACTTTGAAATGCCAGCGTATGAGTACCGTACATCTGGCGTACGGCCTCTAGCGTATTCAGCGTGTGCCTCAGGAGTATGCTTATCGTATAAAGCATACGTCCAATACGCACAAAATTTTTGAGCATGCTTAAAAATTTTTTTCTGCCTCGCCGTATGTCAGCGTATGCCACCGTACACGACCGTGCTTAAAACGTATACAACCTATGCCTAACGTACCCCTAGCGTATGTCAGCGTATACCGGCGTATAACGCAGTAGTGTGACAGGGCCTTTAGATTAATAAAAAGTGCGATTATTTTGTGAATTGCATAAGTGTCAGGCTCTTATCCAGTTAATTAGTCAGAGTTATAAATATTTGACTTGATGTCAGTGAGCTGAAATTTTAAGAATTTTTTTTAGAAAAACCAAGAAATGTAAGGAATTCGAAGGAATTCTTGTATTTGTTTCGGCCGGTGAGAGCCCTGCTCAAACGACTGGATACGTCCATTCTTGCAGCCTTACCGAGTTGTGCGAAATATTTCTCACTGTCGAAGAGCCCAGTTCACGCTAAATCTTGATACATATATATACCGGTATACTATTGAAACAGTCAAATTAAAATGACGAACTTAAAATTTCCCTTCAACAATGACTCTATCGAGTATTGTTTATGAATCACTTTCATACGTTAAACCATTGAAAGTTGAAACGGTTTGGTAACAATTGAAAATCATGTTGAAAAAATTGAAATTATATAAATGCGTAACTGACTTCTTATATACAAATGGCCTAACTGACAATTGACAGCTTGAATTTAAACTGACATTCAAAGATCCCATTTGCCAGCATTATACATGACAAGCTGTTGACAACTTGTTATTTAACATGTAGGGAATTATTTATGTATAGGAACACAATCTGCTATCAGCTTGTTGCAACAATTTGCCCTTTTCATGCTTGTTATAATTGTCGGCTGATTGTCCGTTTCTATCTGCATAGTTCCTTTAGACTTTAAACTTCCAGTTCGACACAGAGTTCAATACACAGAGGTACAACTCGGCCCAAAAAGTGCGCTTACGCGAGAGGCGGTCATTTTGAATGTTTTCAGGGAGATGACAGCCTCTCCTTAGCTTTAGGACAACTGGCTAAAGCCAAGGCATGTCATAGTCGACACGAAGTCGGGCATCTGTAAGTCTTTATTGGTCGAAATAGCCTATAAACAAAGCATAAGTCACAGCTCTCCGTGGAAAAGACAAAAAGTATCATCATATCAATTATATTATAAATGCACAAACAATTTATAATTTAAAAGTTTTAATTACTCTTTATCGCTGCTACGAAGTGGTTTTTAAGCATCAACAAAATATATAGTACAGAGTTATATTATCTCTTTTTGTTATCGCTTAAGCAGCCAAATTAGAGTAGATTATATTAAATATTTATGTAAGAAAATACTAATGAGTAAAAAAGCCTTGTTTCTATAAACATGGTTATAAAACACTTACGATTTCATTAAGACAGTTAAGTTGCCGCCATTTATTATTGACAGTAATTAAATATGGCGCCCATCACATCAAACAAAATCTTATAGTTTTCAATTTGGCAATAACGCAGCAAATTAACTTAAATGCATTAATATATCTTCATGCTTCCTACACAAAATATTTTTCACTGACCCATTTGACCAATTCACAACCTAACCACAATTGTAAATGCACGAAACAAATATCGTGTTTTGCACTAAACCGGCTTGTCGCACGAGATATTCTCGCGATTTTTTATATAAACATTTTTACGTAATGTTGTCGCATCGTTCTTTCGGCTTCATTTTAGAGCCGCAAATTGGAAAATATAATGCCATGGGTGACATTGGGTGTTCGATACGACCAGTCGCAATGATGTCGCATACGATTCTAATCCTGGCGTACGTATGTGCTGAATAAATGTAGCAAGTTCATCTATACAACATAATTAACTCTAAACTTTATCTGCTAAAACGTATGTAGCTATCTTACTTTTCAATTCCATATTCAACTCTATTACGCATTAATCTATCCACACTTGCTATATTGTAGCACTCTCTGGGGCAGTGCTAATAACGAACTAATTACGTGCCTACTAAAATTACAGAAACGAGCTGCGCGGAGACGGCTTGAACAGTCAACCGAAGTGCCTTCAATTGTGCTTTTCCGTAAACTCAACTGGATACCTATTTTTAATCTGATCAAAATGAGAAACATATATATGGTTTTCACTACTTTAAAACATCTTGGCCGCCGGTCTTCGTAAATTGTTTGCTTTGTTCGCGACTCTCGTCCAATTCCAACTAGATCGTCTATACCTCAGATTTTAGGGTCGGCCAAGTGGTTTTGGGTATACAGGATCTAGTGGGTATTTAATTTGAGTATACTGTATGTTTACTTAAATGTTATAACTAATTTTGGGTATTAGGTATACAGCTTCTGGTTGTTTTAGGTATTTTGCAACATTTGGACCGTAATAATAGGTATTTTGTTCCATATTTATCAGGTATTTAGGATACCACGACCCCCCCCCCTGGCTGACCCCTAGATTTAAAAGTTCCTTCAGTTAAGACGGAGCAAGCTAAATTCAAGATTTCCTACCGCAGTGGTGCACGTTTATTCAATTATTTACCATCCGAATTAAAAGGGAAGAATAGTATTAAGTAATCAATGTAATACCTCATTAAATAAAGTTTAATAATAATAATACTGATGAACAGGAATAGTGACGTCAGCAGTCGTTTCATACGCCAGAATTAATGACAATTGCATACGCTGTCTATAATAGTCGTATGGTGTACCTGTAAATGGCCTTTATACATACTTGTATGCTAAAAAAATTATTATAATATATAAAATAAATCTGTTCTGTATCGACAAGCGCTTACGTCATACTTTGTATTGTTTCAATATGTCATTATGTAAATAAAGTAACTTCCAGGAAACACAACGCTCTTCCACGAAAACAGGAGAAAAGCCCGGATGCAATGCGCTAAACCGAAACCACATACAGAAACTAGTATTGATTTTCTAATAGAATTTTAATATCATGGAGTCTTTGCATTTATTTCTGCGGGAAGCAACACAAGAGCTTTTGTATAATATTGTTTATGATGAATGTGAGGTCAATAATAATAATGATGGAGGAATTGAATTTCGCGAACTGAGCGAAAAATTCGAGACAAGATTTGGCTATCGACCTATGGATTTCTTCAACTTTGGCAATGAAAGTCGAAAAGGATGGGTCAGCTTTTTAAAGTCATCGCCCGGATTATGTTTTATTAAAAGGAAAGTATTCATTTTTGAAAACGAAATTGGTAAGTGTGTAGCGTACAAGAAATTTAACGAAACGAAAATACATTTTACGCACGAATCACTTAATATTACTGTCGCAAAGTATCGTCAAATGCTCATTCAAAAAGCGTGCGATTTAGTTTCACAACAAACCGATGCTGTTTGCACTGATGTCACCGATTCGCACGGAAATACTCCTTTATATTTAATCGCTGCTTTACCATGTATTGACCACAAACCGACTCTTGTACAGTACTTGTTAAAGGCCGGCTTTAAGCCACACTATGAGAATAACAATGGTCAAACTATGCTTCACATAATCGCCGGTAGAATGCAAGCGGAAGTCTGTAAAAACGATGACGGTAGTGTTCGTATAGATTGTGAATCATTTGGAAAGAGGAAATTTGACCCAAGTAGATGGCCTGCTAATGATAGAACAGCCCTTCTAAAACTTTTCTCCTCAGAATTATCGCACAGAGAGCTCACTGTATTAGCAAATACACCTAACAGGGATGGAAATACAGCAATGCATGAGTGGGTTATCTCCTTGTCAACCATAACTTCTCGTGGCTTACAACTTGGTTTTGACGTGGCAGAGAAAGAAATCGGCCTACAGTTATTGTCTTTCGGGGTGAACCTACGACAACAAAATGACTCGGGGGATATACCACTTCATTTTGCATACAATTCAGAAATATTTCAGTTTCTGCTTGAAAAGAGCAAACAGAAAAGTGTGGTTTGTTGTCGAGCGAGAAACGAACGCGAGGAAACCCCGCTGTTGTGCATCTTAAATTACGCAACAAACCTTGTATCGAACTCCACTAAAGAAGAGAAGAAAATGACAGCCGTGTTCCTACTGCAACAATTAACGGAACTTGTTACGAAAAATGAACACATTTGCAAGACAGCGTGGATGCCTGATGAGAGTGGCAATTCTGCTGTGGACATTATCCTGAGTACTCTGCGGAAGATATCACACAGTCACAGCTCGTCGGAACCTGGCATGTTTCTTACAAATTTTATCGCCCAACACGTATTTGGTTCATCATCTCAGGAAAAGAAGAATGGTAAATGTTGTGAATTCCGAAAACATTTGATTTCATTACTTGAAAGAAGCCTTTGCGTTGCAAATGAGTACGACCTAAACCGACGAAGCCTCTTACATGAATTAATTGATCTTGGCAATATGGAACTGCTTCAAAGCGTTGAAATGCTTTTGAAAAACAACGCAAAAGTAAACGCAATTGATTCGAAGGGTCGTACTCCACTGGATGTGATCAAGGAATACAAGTCCACAATGCCTTCTAATTCTTTCTTCATGGAATGCGAAAAAAGGCTTCTACAGTATGGGGCAACGTGTGGACCCTCCTTGAGTTCTTCCGTGGACGATAAAACGTCAGTACCAAATGTCGACAACAAAGTGCGCAAAATATTGAGCTGTCCAAAGAAACACTCACATAGTGCACAACGCCTAATTAAAAACAACGACAAAGTTACTGTGGTAGATGGAAAATATCGTTATTCCAGTCAAGATCCAATTGGTTCGGGCGCATTCAGCTCAATCTTTGTCGCTGTGAAGGATGAAAACGTGCACAACAAATCTGGTAGGATTGACTGTCGTGTTTACGCGTTAAAACGAATGGAAAAAGCAAAGAGGAATCCAGATGAGTTCAAACGCGAAATCAATACCTTGCTTTTTGTGTCTGGCAAATGTGAGAATATAATTAAATACCACGAATCTCTCGATGACAATAACTTCCAATACCTTTGCCTTGACCTGATGGACGGTGATCTTAATGAGTTTGTCACAAACAACATTGTTAATGAAGTTCTAACGAAGGATCCAGTGAAACGTGTGCAAGCTACCAAAGAGATTATCAATGGTTTGGAATACCTTCACGGACAGATGTTCATTCATCGCGATCTCAAACCCGGAAACATCCTGTATACCACAGATCCTGCTCTGCACTTCAAGATCGCCGACTTTGGACTGACAAAGAACATGTCCACTTCATTATCTACGATGGCGTCAACCAGGAGGAGTGGTGTTGCCATGGCACCGGGTACGCGATGTTGGATGGCTCCTGAACTGATCAGTATGAAATCAAAAGAGCATACCCAACGGTCAGATATATTTTCCTTGGGACTGGTGTTTCATTATCTTCTTACTCTGGGCAAACATCCTTTTGCAACAGGAAGTGAAGAACCAGCTCACGTTATCGAGAGAAGAATCGTCGATTCACAGATTCGGCTCAATCGAGATCTTGATCCCGAAGCTCGAAGTTTTCTTCAGCAACTTCTGAACCAAGATCCTTCCAAGCGCCCGCCAGCAAAATATCTCAAGCAGCATCCTTTCCTTTGGAGCGAGAGAAAAAAGACCGAATTTCTTAAAGCGGTTGGTGACCAACCAGAAGCCGCCAGTCCAACTAATTATCCTAACTCGCCATTGGAGCAAAGTTTGCAGCTGACAAACATTGGCCAGATCGTGCAGCGGTCCCGTTGGGGTCTTGTAAATCGTCACATGATTGCTTTGTTTGCAGAAATTACCACAGCTCGGAAACAAAAGAAGTATAGAACTGATAAAGTGATCGATTTGCTAAGATTCATCAGAAATGCATACGTTCACAAGCAAGAGAGATCGCTAAAATTACAAGATGATCTTGACAGAAATATTTTCCTACAGTTATACCCTTCTCTTGTTCTTGATGTTTTCGATGTAGTACAGAAACTTGGTTTCCTTAACGATACAAACCGTACCAATATTCAACAAGCTTTAATGTTGATCTAATATTAGCATGGTATGAAAACATGAATGTGCGTTCATTGTAGGCGGACATCGGGATCATTAAATCCCTATCAAACATTGTTGGAACTGATCACGTGGGTAATTTTCACTCGGGCATTCGATGAATGGAACTGTGAGAAGATAAAGCACATGTTTATCACAGAGACGGAGTTTCATCATCGGCATAAAAAACATGAACATACCAATGACGTACTAATAGTAAGTATAGGATAAGAACTACCAGTTCGCGCATTTCCAACATCTAACAATGTGGGTCGACGATGCCGTATGAAATTTTGAATAAAATCAAAACCTAATCCAACATCATCCAAAATTTCCAAACATAATGCTCAAATAAACAGCTCCAGCGATGTTGGATGATGTTGAACCACTGATCTGAGAACTAGGACTGGATAGAGTATCCTTTTGAAGCCAGAATATTTATGAGATGAAATTTTAAAGTCTGTCAAAAGGATTTCCATCCTTTTATCGCTTCCAAGGCCGCATTTCCCTTAGTTTGGGTTTGCGAGCTATGTATAAATATGTGTATAAGGCAGGGCATCTTGGGGTAAAGTCCCCCAGCCCTAATATTGGCTCCTCCAGTGAACTATGTTGCCCCCCCCCCCCAGTGAAGTCACTTCTATCTAAAACATATAAGCAAAAAGTTGAAAAGAGTATTTTAGTATTCCAAAACTTTGCTTTACCGGATGAAATATATCAAAAATTGTGTCTAAAAATGCCGAAAATCAAGCCCCAGAGGCTCACAAATACAAAACCTTTCCAGGGGTGGCTCCTACCCCTAAAAGAGCCCACCTTTCTAGTACACAACCTCCCAGTTATTAGGTCCCTTTTTCGTGACAAACAATATCGTGACCTCCCACGACTGATAATTAAGTTCTTCAAAGAGGCCCTGCTTGAACTGCTTCAAACTGCAGCAATTGATACTGTTTCAATATAGACAAATATATTTATAGACACAAACACATAAGTGAGAGGAGCACGCTATAACAATATTAAATTTGTGGTGTGATGCCTTCCAGTGTATGAGATTCAGTGAACTGTGTTATTATAGATACTTTCCTCTAATTAGTACTTGATCACTAGACTTCATGTCGGTTATAATTTAAGTGACATACGAAGTGACGCACGCGATTTTTTATCTCGATGAAATTTAATGATCAACCTACAATGTATTTTGGAAAAATATAGTGAATCGGAACAGCTGGGAAATTTGTTGTCGCTGTGCAGAGAAATTGCTGGCGCACGCGATATTTTACAAAAATTCGAAAATGTGAAAAAACAACACGAGTGAAATTTCAACTGATGATTTTGCATTTTTAAGACGGCGATCAAGGAAATTAAATTTTTGGAAAAACTTCACTAACATCTCAAGTATGGAAAGCATCTACATTACCAGAAATTTAATTGTGGATTGATTCAAAATTCAGGCGATAAAGTTACATAGCTAGGAGTTGGCTTTTGTGCTTTTCGAATATCAGTTTTCATTCGCGGATTACCATAACTTGTTGGCCTCATGGGTGCCAAAATCGACATAAACGTAAACTGCTAACCAAGAGCTATAAAACAAATAGCTTTTCAAAAAGATAAACTTTATTCAGTCAAAAGGATGAGAGTAAATAAACATGCTACTGCGTGATAGTGATTTCGAAGCAACTTTGTCAGATTATTTTAAAAAGTGTGATAATGAATCAAATTTTGCTCTTTGCAATCCCAAAAAGGTATGAAAAATATTTAAATATTTAAGGTTTCCGTGTTTCTAAAGTATTTTGTTGAGAAAAGTAAAAATTTTCCCGATAAAAAAGCATAGTTTCTGCAGAAAACTGTTTTCTGATAGAGAAGGTCCTGGGGGAGGGGGTGTAGAAGCGTGCGCGTATAGCAAAAAACCTTGACGTTTCCTCCAAAAAATTAATACCAAATTTTGTTTTGCCTTTGTTTGATATGTAATTTAAACAAGTTTTTTTACATCTAAAAATTGCCCCTAGTGGTCAAAACTTGGATTGTGTTCGCAGTATTGGCCATTTGTTTACTTCTGGGGATCAAAGTTTGAGGTCCAATTATTTTTAAAGTTTGCAAACTACCCAGCTAATTCTTGGCTGTTGTTTGCAGCCTTGTATGCTGATTAAAATTTAGTTTAGTCCACAATAGTAGATCCTTTCAATGAAGGGAAATTCAAAATAGCATATTTGATTACTTTTACAGCACAGTCATTACATAGGTAGGGTGCAATACCAGGCCAAATTGAAAAAAAATTTACCGATTCCTCCAAATTTAACATCATATTTTTTTGCTCCCAAGGCACATAGGAAACATAATTTAACAATGAATTTTGTTGAAAAATTGCCCCTTTGCGTCTAATTTCGCTTTGAAATGCGTGCGTTTACTGCTCTTGTATGAAGCAAGAGTTCGAAAACATTCCGAAGTACTGTAAAATGTAATGAAATCGACAACTTGACCTTGCCCTTGAGACCTTGTACTGCTAGATCAGTGGTACTGCCTCAGCACTGAAATGTTTTTTTGACAACGATAATTTTAATACCAGTGTTTCTTGAATATTTTCCTTGTTTAACTAGTAGAACCGAACGTACAAGTGCATCAGAAGACTAAGCGAGAGTTTTGTGTAGAAATGCTCTGTTTACGGGAATTTATTTTGCATTCGCAAGCGTCAACAAAACTGCGGCATCAAGTTCACAGTTTGATTCAACCTCGCAAGCCAGGGTAGGTAGAAGACCCTGGCTTGCGAGGTTGAGTTTGATTATCATAGCGATAGATAAAAGCTTTGAAAATTCAATTGAAAACATTTTAAACCACCCGTATTTGTATAGAATATATGTTAGTTGTATTAATATTGAACTTCTTTCTGTTTGAATATATCCAAATTTGTACTTGTTTTGCGTTTGACAAGGCTGTCAAGGTCGCGACGATTGGCTTTTATACCTCAGTCAGGCATGACTACAGATTTTAAATAGCGTGTCAAATGTCTTCTTGTTTGTGTCAAGGTTATAATATTCTATTGCTGTTCAAACGAGATATTCACTGGAAACGTAGAGTACATTTTACTTTGTCTTTGTCTCAAGCAAAAAAAGTATAAAGATTAAACAGGCATTCAAAAATATACAACAACCACGAACATCTCGTAATATTTCTTCGGGGAAATCTTCAAGTTTCAATGGAAATCTGGCGCATGCGCAACAAATTTCCCAGCTGTTGTGAATCGGATAATACTTTAGTTATAGCTTCCACCTCATGCTCCACTGTCACTTAATCAACGCACTTATAAATACAATATGTACAGGCTAGCTATAACTATTCGATATTCATTAATTGTGTTAGAAAATGATGTGATTGAAGTGTTAAAATGATTTATATTCACCAAAATGAGATAGCTTTCCCACGAAGGCCAATATCCACCATTTCGGGTACTGTCTGCCCTCCTGAAAGGTTCTAGAAAATTCAAAGAACGTGAAAAGCGACTTTTAAAAGTTGAAATTGTAAATTTACCATTATACAAACAACTACAATACTGAAAAGTTGTGTTTCCTGGAGCGGAGACTCTCAAACGTGGAAGAGGCAGTACCCCAAAAATGGCGGGAAAATCTGCCGTGAGAAAAGCTAATTTCATTCAATGGAAGGCATATAGCATGACCTGTTGCTATGCATGGGTAGCTCCCTACTGTATTATTGTGATGAATTATAGGACAAGGAAAGGAAACCTACAGATCATGTGTATATCGAACTTCGGAATTAAACTGTAAGTTACATA